CATCACGTGGTCACGCACCGACTGGCTGCTCGAATGACAACTTCTGGGGTGGGTTCTCACCCATCAAGCGAATTATTCCCCATCTGATCTACATGTGGAGTGGAGATGATGTGAACAGCTTTTGGAAGTTTTAATCGATACTTCGCCCTTCAAATGAAGTCGAGATTCAACGTACTGCTGTGTCGTCTGTACTGAGAATAATCAGCAATTCGTTCCTTATGAGCCTCTTGGGAGTCCCGAGTTCGCAGCAACTAGGCTGGCATATCTCCATCGACTCCCACTCCGGTGGATGCCGGGAAACAAAAGCCGGTATGATTTTTCTGTTAGAACGTAAACTGAACAACCTGATTTATTTGGCTGGCATTTGTGGAGTTTCGAAAAGTCCATAGAATGTATTCGGAATATCCACCGAAACTCATATTGGCGGATGAGTTTACGAACGGTGCCAGCGGATACAGCTTGAGAGCACCAAGTGAAACATCCGGGTATTATGTGAAGTGTCAGAAAAATCCTACGTTGTCCCAGTCGGTGATGACACAAAGCAGTTTCTCAGTTCACTGCGTGCGACAAATTAAAATCAAATGGCGTGAGCGAAAAAAAAACATTCGACCATTCAGTTTGCACCACATCAATCCATCCCACCAACATAATAGTGCAATACTGCTACACATACACACATCCAAATTCCAAAATCCACCACACGTACCGCTGGAGACCAACATGTGTCAGGGTCAGCTTGCACCGCATACGCCCTCAATAACAGACAAGCACACCCGAACAGGAAGCAGGCCCGGCGGTTGCAGATGCGTATCCGGTAGTTCCGTGGGTACGGGCTGCATTGTATCGCCCCGCGTCGCGTCGCCTCGCATCGCCTCGGGATCCATTGCACATGCATATCGATAGAGGAAGTGGGGATTGACGTTCGTATGCACTAGTTCGTAGGACTATTTGATCACGACAATCCCGATGATAGACCTACGTATGCTGTTGTTGGCCGTGCTGTTGGTCTCGGTTGCAGCTCTGCCAGAGCAGACCGCATTCTGACGTATTTTGGATCGTGAGGCAAATTTGGTGTATGTTGATGAAGAACGTTTGTTGTGTCTCGTGTTATTCATGTGGCTGTTTTTTCAGTCGGTTGGGTTATTGTTCCGTAGGTTAGTTACTTGCTCATTTGGTTGCCTAGCCAGCTTGCTAGCCTGTTAGCTGGTTAGTCAGATAGTTAGCAAGTAATTGGGTGGGTGATTTAGCTTGTACGCCCTATGTTACGCTCTGTGGCCGTTTGTAAATCCCACCGTTTCATTTGTGTGATCGAAATATATTTGTTACCTCTGCCTTCTGTTTCAGGGAAACTGTTGCCCTTGGACCACCACGGTGCTTTGCTGTCCACCCGGTTGGCGTTGTGATGTATCTCCGGACTTCTGTTTCCCACGTGCATGTAAAAGCGAAGCCTCGGACCCGGTTGTTCCACTCAAATTTCCATTGGGCCAGTAAACCATCTACCGATATTCGGACACGCATGCCAGTTCGTTTCTTCGGCTAAATACGCCTGTTGATTGTGCTCGCTACAAGCTCGTCTTTTTTTCATGTGTTTGTGTGCATGTACGTCAGCTTGGCGTTTATTTCAATAAAGCGCAGCTTATGATCACAACGTTTGAGTCATCGATTTCTGTTCGATAAGTTGGTAGATGTTTGTGGCCAACACGGTCATGTTCACACTGAGGGCATTTGGTGCATTCGCAATCTAATACTTGTCACAGCACCCCATTCGAGACGAAATACTACTGTGACTGATATGGGAAAGTTTCCAAGCCGGGGCAGTTTCGGACAAGCGTCAGATTAGATTACCCCGCTCTCAGATGTTGTCCTTATTGTGGCCTTAAACTCTTCACCTTATCGGTAGACGTTCACGGAGACGGAAGCTCGAACATTAACTTGGTATCAATCTTTAGGAAGCAATCCATGTACACTTCGTTACTGCAATCGTGGAATATCTTAAGGCGTAATCCTGGAGAGTTCGCTCACCTTTTCATGGTTGTTTTGTCCATTTTCAGAAACTTTGACTTTCATGCATTTGTCCAATTTATTCCGTGCAATGCTTCCTCGGTAGTTTGATAGATGTATTCAGCTCGAAAATCTCGATATTTCCGTATCCAGTTTTGTCGCAACAGTAAAAGCCGAAAATACTCCTTCAACCGGTGACTTCATAAATTCTGGGACAACTCCCTCCCTGTCTCCATCATCGAGTATACCTGGCATGTATACTGGCCTCATACCTGACAGATCGAACATTCCCTGTAATAATAACAAGTAACTTGGGATCAGCACGTCTAATGAATCTGGATCATCGTAGACGGTTATTCAGAAGACGCTTCACAGCAGAAAAAGATTTGTCGTTCAAGGCTTTCTCGAGGAAAACCGCGTTAGGCACTCGGCGAATAGATGGTATCCGTTGATCCCATACTCCTTCGCGGTAAATGCAATGGCGGAGATTGAGTTGTCTATGGGATAACATCCTCCTAATAACGGGGTCGAATGTGGTTACATTTTTGATCGCTCTACACTCGTTTTGATGAACCACAGCAGCTAACAAGATGGAGAATTGCGCGAGTCTTCCTCTACTGTCGTCCGTCGCGTACTGAAAAGGACCGAAATAATCCACACTAGTGGTGGCTAACGTGTAACCATGTTTTAATCCGCAGGCTGGTGAAGATTCCACTGACTGGCTTTACCGACCTTGCCTTGCATGTCACACATCCAAGCACAAGGCTTTTAACCTCCGTGAGTCGGTTGTCAGCTCAAATGCGTTACGCCTATTTACTTCTTGCAAAACTGCCGTGTTGTGCATCTTATGCTTTCTGTTGTACAACGGCGGGTGAAGGAACGGACCGGCAGTTTAGATGGGCGTTTAGATTCAATATCTAGGGACATTAGCTGAATGGTCACGAACCACACTGGGTGAAGAGGCCAAAACGAATTTCCGGGTCGTATGATATAAACGCTGAGGCAGATGGCCCCCGCCCAGGTTCACCCTGAAATGAAGGGCTGATAATAATATGTTTCCTTTTTGTTGTAACTTGTTTGATTTTCACAGTTGTGGTGGGAAGCTTGATTCAATAGTCATTGACGATGTCCACATTACGTTTAAGTAACCAATGCTGAACACCTGTTGGGACGAGTCTACGATAAAGTTGAGTGGCTGTCACATTTTTAATCAATATCAGTAGTCTAATGAACTTATCAAAGCGTCAAAAGTGGATGGGGTAGAGTCTGTTTGTGCAAATTTTGCAGTTGAAGATTAGGGTGGCAGAAGCACATAGGCCTGGATGTACCCATCTGAAAACATGCGCACTCTATAAGATCTTGTCCGACTCTTGAGTAATGTTGAACTATACGCTGGATGCCACTTTTGACTGCTGCAACACTGATCAAGTTCGACTAAAAATGAATGGGTTTGGCTAGTTGGTGACTTGCTGGGATGAAGCTATGTTGCAGACCGGATGAAATGGGAGATGAGATAATTTTATTCATCAGCCCGTAACTTATAGACGTGTGTGTTGAGCTATAAGGAAGTTCCCTGAACCTGATCAGCTTTTGTCTGAAAGCACTCATGACTGGTATGTTCTTGTTCCTTTCGCAGGAAAACTATGTATGCTCGTAGCTAATAACATCACACTGCACGGCTTAGCCTCTAGCATGCGAAACAATGGAGCAACATGGGAGAAGTCACACACGGAGAGTGATTCCGTAGCAATGAATAACCTGAGACATAAGAAATAAACGCTAGTATAAGGATAATATTAATTCCGATCGATACGCCTGGTGATAGAGCTCATGCTGTAGGTTGCTCCCATAGAACTTAAAACACCCAGCATTTATTCGGTAGAAAGGAGCTATGAGGTCTTTGTTGGGGAGACTACCTTTGATGTTTTCAGCTGGATGGCAGTCAGTTTTACTTCTGAGGATGTCGAGTGGTTTCGTTATATTAATGAATGGAATACGAGTGTTATTGCATTGTCATGAAATCAGTGTTCGCGTGCATCTTCAGTTAGTGCGATGGACGTGTGTTTACTTTACCGCATTTAATGGAGCATTTTGGTGAACCCCTTCCCGATTCTGATTTAGGTTCCTGAAACTCAGTCTCGGAAATCTCAGCATGGCGTGTACTGCGACATAGTTGTTCACCAGATCCGCATCACAATATAGTGGGCTCTAAGAAAATACATTCATGATTCCCGATGTTTATCAGGTAGGAATTCGCCCTTCAAAGACACCTGATGTGATGTATGTTTGGAACTGCCGAAACACATCGATTGCAAGACTGCTTTCATGTGGCCGGAGTAAGGTGGAGTGCTTTATTAGACATTGCATGATAAGGGGAAACCCGGAACTTATAAAAATGTTCAGAGTTGGTACAGAATGAAAAGCATCAACGCGAACCGATGCCGCCAGCCACGTTTTCCCTGAATATCACACGAGCTGAATCATTATATGAGAAATTTTACACACACCCATGCAGACACCACATGTACACACGGTTTGTGCCACCAAACTCACCGACTAATTAGTGCGAAATGCCTGTTGTTCGATACGTCCCTTCACAATTTAACCACACACTGATGACTTTGCGTTTGCGGCGCCTGATTCAACACACACACACACAAGTAGCTCAACAGAGCATGGGTTTGGAATTGGATGAACGGATGAATTGACCCTATTCTCATACTAGGTAGAAAACACCACTCTAAGCACACTATGCAGGCTAAAGCGATGAAAGACGTTCTCCATTCCAAAGAGGGCCTCACAGATAATGATGATTTAATCGGTGTCCATTCGACGAACTATTCGAAACCGGGTTTGAAGAGCTGACGCCTCGAAACGTCCATAGAAAGCAATCGAACTATTCGCACGACTCATATTGGCGGATGATTTCACGGACGGGCTAGCGGATATGATCTTGGGAACGCCAGGTGGAACATCCGGGTATTATGTGGGGTGTCAGACAAATCCTACGTTATCCCAGTCGGTGATGACATAGACCAGTTTCACAGTTCACTACGAGCGACAAATTAAAACATATGGCATGAGCGAAAAAACAATCTTCGACCATTATCTTTTCACATTATCAATCCATCCCACCAAACTACTGGTACAATATTGCTACACATACACACGTCCAAATTCCAAAATCCACCTCGCGTACCGCTGAACACCAACATGCGTCAGGGTCTCACCAAACTCATCGACCTGTCAGTGTGAAATACCTGTTGTTCGGTACTGTCATTGGGAACTGAAACACGCGCTGATGAGTTTCTTCAAGTGACCGAGGGTTTCCAACTGGAAGAACGGACAGATTGACCTTGCTCACATACTTTGTAAAAAAACCACACGTACCGTTTGTTCATCTCTACAAAACCACGTGATTCCGTAAACCTGCCAACCGAAGAAAACGCGTAGGCAGGGAACGCCAAACCAGACCTATATATAAGGTGAAAACAATTTTTCAGTCTAGGCACACTATGCAGGCTAAAGCGATGGAAGACGTTCTCCATTTCAAAGAAGGTCTCACAGAATTCGCTACAGATATTTATGACAAAATCATCAAGTTGCAAGCCGGTAAGTCAATGATGCATTTCCGATAAACCAGCATATTTACACATGGTTCAGAAAATTTAGCGAACTCTGTATTTTCGCCCATGAGTATTTATTGTGCCTCGTTGTTGCTGATGGCCGGAGCCGACGGGGAAACACTGCAAGAGATCCAGCAAGTGCTTCACATTCCCCCGATGCTCAGATCCGATGCTGTTCATCAGTCCTATGGACCAATAATTTCGAAGTATTTCGAGGTATCCACTGACGTGGACTTGAACCTTGCTAATCGACTATTTCTACTCAATTCGATCGATATTCGGCCGGAATACAGTACACTAGTTTCCGAGTGTTACAAGGCCTCAGTTGAGCTGGTAATCATATTTCTCCAACATTCTCTCACTGTCGTGTGCCACACAGCTAACCGAACTTCCAAATATAGAGGCGAAAAGACGTCACATTAACGCCTGGGTTGCCAAAAACACGAAGAACAAAATTGAGGAACTGTTGCCGTCTGGTTTTCTCGACCAGAACTCGATATTCCTGCTAATCAACGCGTTGTATTTTCGAGGTAAGAGGCTGTAGTGCCCAACTATGACGTGAACAAATCCATAGGCTCATGGGATCACCAGTTTGATAAGGAACAAACTAAAGAGAGTGATTTCCATTGCTTGAACGGGGAATCGATGAAAGTGCAAATGATGTATAGGAAATCGCCATTCTATCTGGCCTCTCTCGCAGAACTGGACTGTATGGCTATAAAACTTCCTTTTCGATGGAGCGAGTAAGTTTACTAATATGTTGAAATATTGGTAGCTCGAGTGAGTTTGTTGGTTCCTGACATTGTTTTTTTGGTGAAAAACCAATTACCAACCTCAGCGATCAACAGATCAAGAGCCACGTCATCAAAAGCCGATAAGTTTAGTAATATAACACACGGTTTATTCTTCAAGCTGTACCAAATTTAAGAACGGTTGAGGTGCAATTGTGGTCAAACCAATCAATGTCTATACCAGCATTTTGTCAATGGTGACATCTTTCTTTATGTTTCTCTTTGTACTCTTTGAAACGTTCAGCATCTACACGTGAATGTCATGAAATCAGACGACATTTTCGCCGACTGATTCCGGATATTATTCGAATATGATCGTTTTTGTTTTCCATAAATCCACGAGAGTTACAGCCAAATTATAGGAAAACTGAGTCCGCTTACTCGTCTTATTTTGGAGAAGGCCCATTCTAGTCAACCAACATTATCTACACTTATATCACGAAGAGTCAAGCAACCATACACGACCACATTGAGCCTGTTTTATGTGCGTAAATTTGGGCCCGAAACCCAACGGCATCTCCACTGTCCACAAACGGAATATGGTTTATTAAAACTTCACACATTAATGCAGTTCATATATCCCACCTTGGTTTTCGAACGAAATATTCCACAGACTGTCAGACGATTTTAGAAAACTGAATGTTTATCCGTTCGGAAAACAGTTTCATGCTCGTTCTCTTAAAGATCCACCTCAATCCCCGTAGGTTAACCAGCTGGGAATATCTATATTCCAGCTTGATCTTGGTTAACCGCAGTAGAATTCAGCTGAGTAAAAACGAGCCCTTGACCCACTGCGCACGCTGGGGACATCAAAGGATCCTTCCAATGTACGCTTAATTGACATCTCGTGGCAATCAAATGTAAACACGGGAGCACACTTTGCATAGGTGTTATTCTTGCCCCCTTCATTTAGAATGCACCTACAAACATGGAAATCCTCAGCTCACATCAATTTCCGTGATCGATTCCCTTAATTCACTACGCTCAATGATCATCGTCTCCTGCAGCCTATGACTTTTCGAATGTCCTTTTCGTTCGGCGCCCACCAACACGGACCAAGATAAGCGTTCCCATCGGTAATTTGCACAATGTGTACAGCTACTATTCAGCATTACATACCGAATCCGTCACCATTTGATTATCAGGTCGAAACGGCTTCCCACACAACAGTGCCTGGGTAAGCTCACCTGGTGCAAGGTTTTAGTAGGCTAACTATGGGACTGGTTTTCACGCTTTTCATCAAATCCGCAGCGTGTTTTCATCAGTTCAATACTCAGAAGGAACAAAAAATGGTTGCAAGGATTTAAACAATACTCAGCGTTAATACCTTCACGTATCTGAAATCGTCCTCACCAGTGTTACATTCGTCTGTTCATTTTCCTCGCGTAACTGTCTATAAAATGGTCTATTTTGCTGACTGTACACGTGTGCGGTTAGATTTATTGCCAGCAAATACGCCTATTAACCGGAATAAGTAAGCAGTCGCCAATATACGAGGCCCCTTTTGAATCAGGGATATACATGACTAGTAGAGTGTACCTGAACCTGATCTTTCTCTGGAAGGGAACGCAGGAAATTACAGGTCGCTTGCCATAACTTCCTTTTTTGGTTCAGCAATACGAAGCTTTTAGTTGTGCAGTTTTTATCAGGACCTTTCGCTTCCAAAATTTGACATTAATGGGGGCGATAGCGATGAAGCCGAATTATTGGTTGTTTAATTCAGGGCTAGGTAGACCTCGATTCTCTTGTGCAGAATGGTCTCCTACGTTCATGACCCAATTCCGACAGCCGTTTACGATTAAAAATGATCCACCGAGGACGGCTAACGAAATTCTGTCGCGAAATATTCAATAAGATTGATATTTTGCGTTCTATGCTGTTGGTAAATGCGCTGTGGGAGCTTACATGACGTACAGGGATGACAACCGAATCCAATGAAGAAACGTTCGCGCCCTCTTCATCGTTTATACATTGATATGTAATGCACTTCAAACATCTTCAGGCAAAAAGATATTGCCGGTAAATGTTCCATGAATACATTGTACATCGCACCAAGTTAAACCTATTTGATGGTTAAATTAACGGTGGATCGATTCTGAAGAAACCAACCGCTATTGTCGGTAGAGCCGTATCTAGCAACAGAAAGCATAAAATTGTATCTGAATAAACCCTAGATCTAGCACAGGACATCTAATCGTGACACTAGGATTGCTCCAAAATTTGCTATTTATTGCATAGTTGCATAGTCACAAAATAACCATTGTCAAGTTCCCACCACCCAACAGTGCGTGGCTTTTTAAAGTGCCGTTATATATCTCATAAGAGGGTTGGTGAATTTGTTGTCTATCTCCGCCTCTGTTATTACAGACGAGTGCTTCGCCTAGCTATCCGCGATGTTCGCTATTTCCCTGAGGTTGCTCATATTGGCGACCATCAGGCGCCCGAAGAATTGCCAGCCTCTGCAGTGTGCATTTTGTGGTTACCATGTATTCCTCGAAACCAAGTCGCCCCACACGAAGCTGTAAGAAATTTCAATTAATGCACTCGTACTTGGGCAAAAGGCTACAATGCTTGCGTCGGCAGATCGGTGCCCCTTATAGTCAATTACAATCTAAAATGGAAAAAACCTATCATGCGACATCGGACGTTGCGCTGCGTCATCAAAATTATCACCTCTCTCGGAGCAACCAGAAGGACGACAACTAGAGGAATCAGTCTACTGATGACGCTTTGCTCTTTCTTTCTTATATAATTGTTTTCTCCTGTACTCAATCCAATCGCTAGTATTTCTGGAGATGTGCGTACCCCAGAATTGTTTCGATGGACTAGCACTAGATACCTTCTCCAAGCATCTCCGTCTTTTCAACACAGGATGGCTTTTAAATAAAAATTACGGAGTTGCAGAGGAGAAGCATCACTTTTGAATAGTGATGATCATCATCGGTATGAAGCTGCCTAGTCAGTATTGGAGAATCGTCTGGTACACAGAAGGATACCGAAAACCATCATTCCTAACTAGCAATCCTATTGAATCACGCATTATTTGCCAGTTCAACTGAAGGTGATCTGAATCTCCGTCCATTTTTGATTATTTCATTTCCCGAGAGTGAATGGTCGCTGATGATTTTGTTGCCACAAGAAAGGACTGGTTTGCCGAAACTTCTTTCCAGATTACAAGCACCAGGACAATTGGCTTCCGCACTGAGAAGCCCGTTCG